GAGAATGTAAATAAAAAAAAATTCAGATTTTGTTTTTTATTAAGAAAGATGATTAGGACCACTGGAAAAAAGAATTCTGAAATTCTGAGTGAAATCTGAGAAAATAAAAATTGAGTTTAAAGTCAGAATTTTTTTTTAGTCCTAATCCTCTTTTTGTTTATTGACATAGTTTAACTCAATTAAAAATGTTCCTTTTTAATTTCATATTTAAATAAAGTGTCTCCAGCAGAGGACCAAGCTCAGATCTCCATCCAGAACATGTTAGGTGCTGAACAGAACTCAGCTGGAGGCATTGAGCTGAAGGTGAGGAGGGCAGGAATCAAACCCAGGATCTTCTTGTTGTGAAGCATCAGTGCCACCCACTGATCCACCGTGGTGCCAACATCGATTCCCCCACATKCACAAACCAAACCATCAGCTTCACTAACTCCTAAACCACTACTTAGTTCTGCTGATGATAAACAGCTAAATGAGTGAAAACTAAAGTTAAACTGCTAATATTTAACAGATTAGTGATGATGTGATCATAAACGGTCTGAATCTTTTGAACGACTCGTTACAACGAACAACAGGAACTGAGTCGTGGGCAGAAAAGAGACGTTCGGATTGAGTTACATCATCATGTAGACAAATACCAACGATGGAATATTAGGGCCACTTTGCGATGAAAAAACGAAGAAAAAAACCTCGTAAATTTATGAGAAAAAACTCTTTAGCCATTACTTAAAACTTCAGGGTTTTTTCTAATAATTTACGAMTTTTTTTCCCCTCTGCAAAGCGGCCCTAATACTTCATAAATACGTCATCACATCATGTGGGCGGAATGTGTTTTATAAACTCCTCCCCCTTTTCCCCCTGAGCTGCTGTGCTCCGCCCCTCTGCCTGTTGTCTGTAGCTGTGTTTCCATTGACCATGAAAATGCGCAAATTAGAATTTCGAAAATAAATTACGTTTTTCGACAAAATGTTTTTGCACTAGGATGAGGTGGTTTTTCAGCCGTATCTAAATTGGTGTTTTTCACAAAACTGCAATGGAAAC